CAACCCTTGCAAATCAGTCCCAAAGTGCTGGAATGGATGGTGGAGGTGGTAGGCTATGAGGTGTAGTGCAAATGGTGCAAGAAAATTAGGGTTTGGAGCTTGAAATAGTGAGTTATGGAGGGTGGAGTGTATATGCCTTAAACAAATTTGTTCAACCCTTCAAATGGAAAAGGAGGGCCTCTCTTATAGAGAAGAGAAGCCAAAGCTTCTCTTGGAAGCTTCAAATATCCTCCATACACGATGGTCCAAATGTCTCCCAGGTGGCACAGCTGTGATGTATTCAGAGAGAGCAAAAAGCAAGAAGCAGGCCGACCAGTTCAAGTGGTCGGCCGGCCACTCCCCCTGGTTGGCCGACTAGGGGTCAAAAGGTTCAAGGAGGAATGCTGGCCGGCCACCCCAAAAAGGTGGCCACCCAGATGAGTGCAACACAGTTGTATGGTGGAAAACTAGAGAATGTGACCCAAGGGAGAGAAAAACCAGCTTTTTAGCAAGGTTCAAAAGGGTCAAGAAGAATTACTGGTCGGCCTACCCATATTGGTGGACTCCCAGATGAGCACAACACAATGGTGGTATGAAAAGCCAGAAATTGTGGCTCAAAAGTGAGAAAAACCAGCTTTCTGTCAGAAAAAACGGCTTTTGGAGAGAGAAAAAAAGAAAATTGGTTTCCAAGGAAAAAAGGTGGCCTCCTACCATACTACCACCTCCCTAGCAATCAAAATAGGGTCCCTACCAAAAATAGACCAAGACGGATGTAAAACGAAGGTTCGGGAGCCAAAACGCGCAATCTGGGGCCCCGAAAACAGGCTGTTAGGCATCGGAAGTGGCGTATGACCACGAAGGTGGTCTCCCGGGCCACAGTGTCCCTCTAAAGGGAGGAAATAAGGGGTGTTCCAAAAATCAGAGCAAACGGAAGTAGTTAAGCGGTCCCGAATCGAGGCACACGGCCGATGGCTCCGAAAATCGAAAACTGGGCTCTAAACGGGAAAAATGGCCTACGACCACGAAGCGTAGCCTACGGCCACTGAGAGATGGTCTACGAGACCTCTCCCTACCTAAGAGAAAACAGAGAAAACAGGACCCAGTTCGCAAACTGAGGCAAAGCACAAAAGAGCCCCGAAGTCTGGAGGCAAGGCTCACAGCCGAGACTCCGCAACCTCAGAACGAGCACAATATGCAACATCACCGAGCGCTCAATTGGTGACGTCTGAGTCTTAAGTTCGGTCAAAATGGGGTGTCTACAGTTGCCCCTCTTTGACAGAACTCGAAAGTCGTAATTGACGGGAGTGGGTGTCTGTCACGACCCAAACCCGCCCCTATGGGTTTAGTACCATAACCGGCCAGTAACCCGAGATTACCGAAGGCCTGCTTAACAGTAATACAGTAAGACAGAGTACAGGGGCTTGGCGGAAGCCAATACAGTAATTAAACAATGTCCAATGAGCTGTGACAGTCTGTATGCCAAAAAGATTTTTTTTTCCATGCATTCATACATTCACAACAGTACAGGCTATACAAGCATTTACAGACATTCAGTACAGGGACCTAATCCCTTGATAACAGTACAGTACAGTAGATAACAGTCTACACAGTAATACAAAACAATAACAGGGACAAGCGGGGGAAAAAGACACCCCAAGCCATAGCATGGCAAACTCGGAACCTCGCAGTGAGGCACGGTGGTTGGCTTGACAAAACTGGAATAACCCTGACGCCTCTAGCTTTGACCCGGTGCCTGTACACCTACATATACATACGAGCCGTGAGCTAAAGCCTAGTGAATAACATAAAGCGTAAAGGGGTTTAGAATGAATGTCCTTACAGTAATGAAAACAGTTCATTTCAATCAGTATTTCAGTTGCTCAGTACAGTAAACAGTCATATGTGGTACATCCATTAGCATATCAGTAACAGTAGGTCTTAAAAGACCGAACAGTAATGATGGCCATCAGTCAGTAAACAGTAGTGGCTCTACGAGGGAACCGACAGAGATCTCTGTAACAGTAACAGTAGACAGTAGGTGCTAAGGATGCCACAGTACAGTTCAGAAATAAAGGACATACATTCATTCAGTAAATAACACCAGTTCAGTAAACAATTCAGTTCAGTATTCAAAAGATAATCAGTTGAACATATCTTTACACAATTGTTACTCACAGAGTTCTGGGCTACAGTAGGCTAGAGCGTCTCCTCGAAATGCCAACCCTATACAGTTAACAGATTGAACACACTCTAAGTTTCACAGTTGGGAAAGGTAATAATTAAATCCTTAAATTTGCCTCGGTGTGTTCTACATCTATATCCTCATTAAGATGTCCAAAACTAGGCCTAAGAATGCCTAGGATGAAATGGGGATGCAAAGATGCACTTAGAAAACATTTTCAGAAATTTCAGTGAAACAGGGTCCCGTTCGAGCGCAGGTTTCCCCGCTCGAGCATCCATTATACCGCTCGAGCGGACCAAAAAGTACTGGATAAGGGAAATCCCCGCACGACGCCCGCTCGAGCGTGTCACCCAGTCCTCCGCTCGAGCGCCCAATACTCCGCTCGAGCGGACTGTTCTACAGTGCAAGATGCTGGAAGCTCGATTTTCCCGCTCGAGCGGCACTTCCCCCTGCTCGAGCAGATGACTGAAATCTGGAAATCCCAGATTCGAGCTCCAGGTTCAAAACCAAACTTAGATGCATAAAATTCGATCCTCTTGGGCCAATTTTCTGGAAAACTCTTTTAAACACATAGAATAACATGTTTCAAAACTCAATTTAGGAAATCAAAGCCCAAGGGTGTTTAATTCAAACCCAATTTCCAACCATTCTTCAAGAACAACATTCAAACATGTCATGCATGAGTTTTAAACCAAATTAAAGCTCCAAAGCTTGTTCAAATGAGCTCATTTCTTTTCAAAACCAGATGAAAACATGGTCTATAACAACAATATGAGCATGCATGTACTAATGTCCATGTAATCAACCTCAAAATGCAACGATACTAACATGCATGCATGAATTATGCTCTATTTCAACATGCTAGAACTAATTCATGGCTCAACTTTCAATTTTGACATAAACCATGCAAGAATCAAGCTCAAATACATCAATAAAGGTTGAATTCTCTTACCTAAGTCTTGTATTTAGGATAGGGAAGCTCAATTGTACAAAACTCCTTCAATTCTTCAAGATCTCAAGCTAAATCAACAAGAACAATTCTCTCTCTCTCTAACTCTCTTCTTTGGTTGGTTGAGGCAACACAAAGGCTGATGAAATGTTGTTTTAATCAAATGCATTAAGTGTAATAAGGCTCAAAAGGTTTGACGTAGTGGGCCACTACAAGGCTAGTTTGGTAAAATAAGTCCAACTTGGCCAATTAGCTTATTTTAATCTAATTTAATCATACCAAATCACTTTTTCAATGAATATACCATAAAATTACATAAATTATGTTGATCATAAAACACCAATCAATTTTGGATTCGGCCACCGATAAGGCCTTCAACTGACAGTCTAAACATATAAGCATGAACAGATAATCATACAGTCAAACAGATAGAATGCAATTTAACTAACATATACTCAGTCAATTCGGTTTCCAATTTCAGTCAGCCAGTTCTGTAGTTTATTCAGTTCAATTATCAGTCATAATCAGTCTCGGTTAACAGTAATTAGCAGTTAATCAGTTATTAATCGGTAAACAGTATGAGGGTTGTTACAGTGTCAAAGCCTAGAGACGACCCATTTTTGACAAGGCCGAAGACTTAGACAAACAGGCAAGGTAACAAAGATGTGCCCGCAGGCAGGGGGCAAGATGCAAAATGGTATGCACAAAGCCGGACGTAACTCATAATCATGCAAAGTAGCAAGCTGTACTGCAGCGCACACGCAACGGTTTTAAGCAAGAATGCAAAGCAACAACTACATTTCATGCAGTTTAAGAATGCGGAGAATTATTCAACTCTTGCCACGTCTCACACGGAGAAGATACAATACCTGCGCGATTCGTCTGGTTGCACCAGCTTCAAATGAACCGTACATACAATATCGTGCCTACAAAAGAGAGAAACTTAACAAGCACAACATAGTTAGCAACACATGTTCAACGCTATATCGAACGTAGACAAACAGGGTGCCGATGGGAAAGTGCATCGCAATGCGAGAGACACACATGTGTCAACGCAAGTTAAGCATGAGGGTATGACAATACCCATGAAATGTGCACAACAATGCAAGTGGTATGCATGAGAATGCAAGTGACGTGCATAACAATGCAGGATAATTGCAAACTCAAATGCATATTTGACACGAAACAACGAGCAAAGAAATGCAAGTTTTGACGAGTACGACTCAATCGCGACCTCCGGTTTACCTCCCGGAAGGGTCACAACGTGCTCAAAAAGGATACATTTTTCTTTTGACGAGTGACGATGAAACCCGCATCGAAAGTTGGAGTTGAAATTCCCGCGGAGGGATTTCGCGACAAAAAGTGCACTTTTCTTGTACTTTCTCGGGTGCTAGGGACTTCGATCACTACCAAAATTTGCAGATACCTTGGAGACCATCTTGGGAACACCACCAACCAGGTTTGGGGTTCACTGGAGGCCACCGACCAGGTTTGAGTGCAGGGGGTGGTCGGCCTACCAGAAAAGGTGGCGGGCCGACCACCTAGCCCATATCCGAGACAGTTTGGTACTTTCACCCTCATTTCTTTAAATACATTCAGCCAAAGCTTGATTCCTCACAACATCAAATCCAAAATCACCTTCTCCTCCTTCCTAGAGCATTTTTCCTCTCAGATCTGCGCTCTATACGCGTTTTCCAACGCCCCACGCAAAGTTGTTTCGCGAAAACTTTCAATTCTCTTCACTTTGAACCGATTAAATTTTGATTTCTGAGCTTCTTTTCTCATTTTCACCACTTAAGGTAAGTTTGTCTCAACATTTGGACGATTTTCTTGGGAGTTGACTTTTGTTGACTTTTTCTAATTTTGGCTCATTTTTGCTCCTTTTTGCAGATTTCTTGAGATGGCGGGTCATTTTCCCCTTGACGGAGGTTCTCCAGGTGCCGGAGATGATCCAGATATCATGTCTCTGCCGCCGAGGATTCGCCCATTTATTCCCGAGAGGTACGACCCCTCGACGCACATCCTTCCACGGGCAGTTTTCTATCATTTTACAGACTTCGACGATCGAGCCCCCGTGGATTTGCTATTGTGGGATCCGGAGTTCCATCTCTCCTATCAGGCACGGGAGGTATGTACTTCACTTTTTTACATTTCCTGCCTTAATTCTGCATTTTCCGTGCATTTTATGCTACGCATGCTTATTTGCTCGTTCTGAACACATTCGCATGCCATACTTCTGCTCATTCTAGCACACAGCTTGTTCTGAATTCTTAGTCTATAACACAGTACTCTGTTTGCATTTTGAACATACAGCTCAATCACTTGAATTTCTAAACACGCAGCTCATATTTGATGGTGAACACGCAGCACACACTATTTCTGAAATCTGAACACACAGCCCAAACTTTGTTTGTGAACACGCAGCACACGTTGCAATTTTGAACACGCAACCCATATCTTGATTGTGAACACGCAGCACACATTATTTCTGAAATCTGAACACACAGTCCAAACTTTGTTTGTGAACACGCAGCACACATTTCAATTCTGAATACGCAGCCCATATCTTGATTGTGAACACGCAGCACACACTATTTCTGAAATCTGAACACACAGTCCAAACTTTGTTTGTGAACACGCAGCACACATTTGTTGAAAGTTGAACACACAGCCCAAAGTTTGAATTTCTGAACACGCAGCTCATATTTGATGGTGAACACACAGCACACTATTTCTGAAATCTGAACACACAACCCAAATTTGTTGAAAGTTGGACACTCAGCCCAAACTTTGAATTTCTGAACACGCAGCTCATATTTGTTGAAAGTTGAACACGTAGCCCAAACTTTGAATTTCTGAACACGCAGCTCATATTTGTTGAAAGTTGAACACGCAGCCCAAACTTTGAATTTCTGAAGACGCAGCCCATATTTGATGGTGAACACGCAGCACACACTATTTTTGAAATCTGAACACACAGCCCAAACTTTGAATTTCTGAACACACAACTCATATTTGTTGAAAGTTGAACACGCAGCCTAAACTTTGAATTTCTAAACACGTAGCTCATATTTGTTGAAAGTTGAACACTCAACCCAAACTTTGTTTGTGAACACACAGCACACATTTCAATTCTGAACGCACAGCTCATACTGAACACGCAGTTCACAGCATTGTATTTGATTTGATTTGCACACATCTCATACATTTCATTTGCACGCAGCTTATTCATTTCATTCTGAAACTGAAGACATGTGTTCATTGTGAATGCAGGTGTCCTCCCGTGTTACACGGGGATACGGCTCCATTGCTGCGAGGGAGTGGTATGCAGAGCTCCCAGAGGCCGTCCGTGATTAGGTCGATCAGGTAGGGTTCGGGCCCTTCTGTACTGGGATATCTCGCTATCCTGCCAGCAGGACGTTGATGGGCGCCCTTGTGGAGAGGTGATGGGACACCACCAATTCTTTTCATTTCTCAACTGCCGGGGACATGACTATGACCCCATTCGACTTTGCTGTATTGACAGGCCTCGACGTTGGAGGCTGGGCGATCCCTTATGATGAGGACATGGGCGAGTGGGAGGCCGCCTGGATTTATTTATTGGGAGCTCGCCCACCGGTCGACCGATCCTTGGGCAGAGTCCGGTACACCTGGTTTTCTTCATATTTCAGACAGAGGGAGCCCGAGACTCCCGACGAGATAGCATAGTACACCCGAGGGTTTTTGATGTTGCTCTTCGAGACCACTCTGTTCGCCGATAGGGGGAACACCGTTGGGCTATAT